CTTCACGTAAGCACTTATTATCTTCATTATAAAAATTTTCGTATTGAAATCTGTATGTCTTATGAGCTTTACGCTTCAATCTATGCCCTTATAAAAGCTTTTTACATTCTAAGGATGAGAAGGAATCTGAGAGATGCGTGAAAAATCTCCATGCTTCCATTTCCTCAGAATGCTAACGTTATTACTAGTCATTTTTCCTCGTCTTATGATCCTCTACCATCGAATATTAAGTGCTTCTGCTCGCCATTTTCTTATTCCTTCATTTCGACATCACTGAAGTTCACCAAAAATCAGCGTTAAAGCTACCATTATCATGATGCTCTTCTCCAGATCTTCAGTCGATGAGATACCGATTGAAACGTAATGAAGTTCTTCAAATGGATAAAATCACTGGACATTAGTCATTCCCTCGAGGATGCGTCTTTCACATAATCCCAATCGTTCCTCGTAATATCATGAAGATGACAGAGCACGAATTTAACTCAAAAAGAGTGGAGGGGCTCTATATATAAAATTCGTTCCTTTTTGTTTTCCATAAAAAGCAGGCGTTACATGAGTTTCACCAATATTTGCCTGGGTGGCGGGTCTGAAACATTGGCCACGTTAATATTGTATGAAATCCCTAACCGGTGCGCTATACGCTACTACGCTCTCGTTAGTAGGGTCGTTATCATATGAATGCTATGTTTTGCCTGAAAATGTCCTTTTAAATTTGAGGGTATGATCTACCTTTGTTTCGAGTGTTTCATAAGACCACGCTCAGATTTCATAATATCTCTAATTATTATTTGAGCCAACATGTCATGTGATCTGTTAATGGGCTCTTGTGCAGCCCGATCTACGTGTTTCGACTTTACAGTCTCAGTCGTGCAGAATCCTTTAAGTCTTCTAGCCAATCTTCTCGGAACCCCTACTCTCCCAAGAGGTAGCGTCGACGAACGACTCACACTGTAACTCAAGTGAAATTATCATCGAATTTACAGTATTGTACACTCGATTTGGCTCTTTGGCTGGCTGTACAGTAGCCCATTAATAGACTACATGACATGTTGGCTCAAATAATAATTATGAGATATATTGAAATTTGAGCGTGATCTCAATAAAACACTCCAAATAAAGCTATAATAATATAGAAATAGCAATCAAAGAGCAATTGAGTGTACAACTTTGTGAAGTCGGTGATAATTTCACTTGACTCACAATGTAAATCGTTCGTCGACGCCACCTCTTTATAGAGAGAGTAGGGCTCCCGAGAGGATTGGCTAAAAGACTAAAAGACAAAAGGTTCTGCCCGACTTACGAGACTGTAAGGTCGAAACACGTGTATCGGGCTGTACAAGAGCCCATTAACAGACCACATAACATACTGGCTCAAATAATAAATCTGGTATAATCTACAAAATATTTTCCGATTAAATGATGGAGGATCTTCAAAGTCCTCATTATGGGTGATTCTTGCCCTATGTTATATAACATTTTCTAATTATTTCATTTACGACTTCAAAATATTGATAACATTAGGTGAAAACTGTCATGTATCAATGACTGCGGACAGGAAAAAAATATGGAATCACTAACAATCTTTTTCTAATGAAAGTACTGAAATTGTTCCTATTCTTTTGAGGAATTTGATGAGGCCCTTGTTCATAATTAAGAGGTTTTCCGCTTTATCCTTCATGACATCTATTGTGCTGATATCAGCACACCTTGTCGTTTCGTTTCCTCGCACTCATCCTTTGCAAAGGTTTATCGAATATTTCACATGCTACATCAGCTGCTGCTTGAGGATTTTCCTACTTATGAATATCCTAGAACGCTAGTCGAGAAGCTGCTTCTTGTGACCTTGGAGAACCGAATTAGAACTTCCCCATGCAGCTTTGTGGGGCAGTGTTGGAGAGAGACCAATCAATGTTCACTGATAGCATTATTACTATCCACTGCGCTACCCCTCCACCAAGGAGTATAAGTGCTACAGATCAAAAAATTTCAATTGTAGTGTGTTCTTTCTAGATTTTGACGAGTATATTCGCTAAGGAGCGGAACCGTTAGGAAGTTTTAGTTAACAAAAAATTTTCAGTACAAGGCCGAACTGATTACAACTCTCATTATGTTCGTTTTTTGTGCTTTTCTAACTACTGTGGTTTTCTTTTAGTCCTCAATGATTTTATATCTATGACGATTTGTCTCGATGCTCACGATGAGGAGTCAGCCAACTGGCTATAGCATAGAGGAAATAATCATTGTGGCAAATATACCTGATTTTGCTTTCTTTCTTCAACTTTGCTTGTTAGCCGACTTTTACCGAGTCTCTAGTGGCGTCTCCATGAAGGTTCTCAGTTTTCGTTGCCTTTAGAAAATCCTCTCGCACTTGAGTTAATAGCTATCGTATCCGCTTTGTGTCCGAACTCTGTTTTTGTTGTTTTATACTTCATGATGACAAAAACGGTACTTCTGTTGCATACAAATCCCAGTAGTTGATTTCCCTTCTAGACTTCATTAATTCGCTTCCTCCTGACTGTGGTAATTATAAATGGTTGGAACAAATTTACTGCTTTGAGTCAGGATTTCTAGTAAGTTATTGAAGACACCTATTCCGCTTTTATGATTGTCTGCTGCCATCGGATGTTACAAAACAGGTCAACTGTTTATCGTACGAAAAACTATAGTAACATGGTAAAAGGAGGTGACTTGTAGCTCAAACTGAGTTCTCGTTTCGTTACCTCGCGCAAGCCTAACTAGACGTCTTTTTTCTTTGTGCTTGAAAATTTGATAATAGTCTTAGCTAGAAGAGTAGAAGCTTCACTTGATACATTAGCAGACCCCAGTAGATCACATATGCATTTAGTCTTGACTGAGAGACTAAATATTGTTGAATTCATGGCTCTTCTTTAGCGTATTGATCTGCTCAGACAGTTCCTCTTTCATTCTATCATTCAGTCATGTCTACTCCAGTCAAGCAGTACTAAGTAGTTTGTCATGTCATGACATACTACCACGCTCCAGTAATCCTATGTAATATTTTACTACTTTACGGGTGAAATTGTCATGGCCCGATCAAAGCTGGATGATTGAGAGTTGAGTGATCTTACAAACACCTCAATTAGTAGGCTCACATCTTATGTACTGGACTGTTTATTTGTCTTTTCTCTATTTTTCCATCCATTTGAATGATTTCAAGGTTTAAAAGATTTGGGTTTTTACGGAAAATGTGGAAGTGCGATCATGTTCGTTTTATTAGCGCATTGCTACGTTGTACTCTCTATTACCTCGCAGCGATAGAAAGGCAAATGGATAGTACAATCTGAAAATGTGTTTTGAGCCTTACTTGAGGTTTTTTATGGCACTTATACAAAGCAAGACGCCTGTTTCGGTCTTCCAACCTCGTCAAATGCACGGTGCCTTTCCGTTCAGCCATTCTTCTGGGAGTTACCTCTACGTAGAGTTATCGACAGCGAGCTTTTTGCACCTGACAGTGGTGTATAGTGGATAGGAGAACAAAGTGTTGCTTGAGGTATCCTTGAATCTGTATCATGGTAGTAGAGTACAATACTCTATCATTCAAACCACATGCTAAGAGTGAAGGAAATTGCGTTACCCCCACCTCTTTTGGAAAAAGGACTACTTAGTCGTAAATGGACATAAATTATCCTAAGTTTTTCGCTACATGTTAGAGGGCGCATGCCAGTTGATGACTGATTATAAAATTTTGCTTCATGCAAAGCTAATTACTGCCAATTGATTATCTTATCAAGCCTATTCAGTGTTCATTATGAGTAACCAGCGAAAATTTCTCTTTGTTGTTGATTTTTTTTATCTGGATGGATGCATTTCAATACATTGCATATTCATGCAATTCAAATATTATCGATGTGACAGTGCATATTCAAGAAACTTATCAAGCTCAGCACCAAATGATTTGTTATGAATTTTTGCTTCGTTTCGTTTCGGGTCGTTTTCTTTCTTTGACATATTGTTTTGCACGTCAAGGATTTCTACAGAATTAATCACATCTCCATTCGAGTGCAAACTTATTGAATATTCTTTTTTTTCAGAGCTGACTGATTAGGGAAAATCGCCCTTGTCTTCTATGGATTCATGCTCACGAAATCATGGATTCAGTGTATACTTTTGAATTGCTTTCTTTTGGAAAAACTTTTGTTTTCGTAGATTCTGTCTAGAAGAGGTAATATTGTGAAGTTGTTGATGGAGGATGAGTCTTCCAGCGTCGACCAATCCTTAGCTTAATGTGCATTTGATTGCATTCGTTGCATTGCTGGGATGATTAATTGCGCATATGGCTTATATAATGGCTTGCCGTGTTCTGTCGATGTATATTTAGTATAGCTTATCCTCTGAGATAAGCCCGGTGCCAACTCCCTGACACCCGAGAATTGAAGACTTGACTGATGCGAGGCGCAGTTTCGAACCTGTAACTAACCACTGATGTGACACATACCTTTCATCACTTCCCACTCTTGACGACAAACCTTGATATTTTTGAGAATAATACCACTTTTCCATGTGAAACATCGGTCGTGTGGTTTTACTGTAGAGACTGAGGTCCGTCCAAACTATTAGCAATAGTTGAATACAACCACAATGATTGTTTTTGATTAGCTGTGTTGAAAGATATCGAATACAAACTTGGTAAAGCAGAAGTTGTTGGTTTTTCTGCATATATTTACTCGATGTGCTATGTTTCTGGGCAAACTATAGCTCAAGATGCAGCGCAATTTCATCACATAACAGGATCAGTTGTAATTTTTGGAATCTCTGGAAACATTCGAATCTCCACTACATTCATCAGAATTGACCTTTTATCTCTAAATATCTATTTTTTGATTTGAAAATTGGAATGCAATTATAAGATCCTGTCTTTAAACCCGATGATGTGGGGTGGTGTGTAAAACGTTTTGCATCAGCTAGGAATCGAGACGGTAGAACGGTTGGCTGTTAACAGATAACGCATTTTAGCGTAGAAAGAATGGTGGGCGAAACGAGCATCGGTAGAGCAACGGTTCAGCACGCGTTGCCGTAAGGAGCGAGGTCTAGGTTCGAGTCTTAGCTGACGCGAGCCTTTTTGCACACCACTCTACATCAATGGGCTTACTGAAACATCATAACACCGCAATGAGCGGTGAAATAAAATGATTTCTGATTCTGTCCTTTATTAAATTTGTTTTATTTATAATACCTAGTCGCAAACTGTGGGAATTCCAGTAGTTGCTCTATTTCGCTGTCTTAAATCTTATAATAGATAGCTAGAGGATGCAAACTTACCCTAGAATGGCCACTTATAAGTTGGATTGCGCGTGATTGCTGCCATAATCACTCACCTGCGTTTGCAGCTGCAAGCGCTTTCTAGATAACGGGATTATGCTTGCAAACCCCATTAGTGGTACTCACTGTAAAACGGCACTAAGGGTAACTATTGTGAAGTGAGGAAACGAATGTTAAATGGGTTCTAGTTTGCACTGCTCTTCATAGGTCGTCTAACGTATCTCAGTTTGTCGATTTGCAATGTATTACAAGGGATTAACTTGTTAGTCAGTGGCACATAAATGTGCCATTGTTAGAAACACGAGCCGCGCGCGGCGGTATATATGTATTTTAGCGTGGTGAAATGAAAATATGGGAATACAATTGGAAAAATGAGTTCTGAGAGAACATTATCATCTTCGAATGATGGAAAGCCTCAAACGAGCCTTTTGAAAAGGTTTTTTCGTTATAAAGAACGCCTATGTTTCGAAAAAATTTTTATGTTTCCTTGAGATAACAATATCGTTGCAGGAAGTAATATATTTCGAACCATTACATAACATTTGTTTCTTTTTTTAGCCAATGTTTTGGTAGCCAATAGATAGCTTTAGAAATGCCGATATTCAAACTAAACTTGGTTCATTAAACGATCATCATGCTATGTTTCAATGACGAAAAAAACATAACGTTTTGCTTTTGAAGTGCGTTGTTTCAACTTCACAGCGGATTATTTGATGTTATATAATGAAATCTTGATTTCAAACTTTGTCATAATGAAAAAGCAGATTATTCTTAGAGAGATATGTGTAAATGAAGTGAGAGGTACACTGTTTTTCAGAAGTTTTCACTCTCATTACGAAATGTGTGGAATGCAGTCATGTTCTATGGAATGTGCTTGTGTTTCCTTGTCTTTTTTCACTGAAGAGAGCTTCTCGCCACAATTTTAGCGTTCATACGATACCTGGGATAGTGCTGATTCCAATACTATGCTTGGTTTGGGGAGCAAAAATAGGAAGAACACGTGAATTTAGTACGCATAGCCAGTGACAAAGGTTGCAGCAATGAATAATGTTCATAACAGGTTCTAAGTGAATATACAATGAGTAAACACTCTTGATACGATAGAAAAAAGTCTTTTTAAAACTCTACAGAGTTCCCAACTGCTGAAGTACATTAATTTTGAGAAGCTGTTGAGTCTTAGCAAAAAAGTTGGCATAGCATTGCAATGTGCAGTTGAATTTTTGACAAACAATTTGTTGTTCAGTTAGTTGTGGCGCAGGTTTGAACGAAAAATAGCCATGTTTCAGTCTCTTCTATTACTTGGCCATTCCTTGACGATCAAACCTTTTTTAGTGGTGATGAAAATCTAATACTCATCAGAAAACTACCACATTGTCATTACAACCCGCTGCACTCGCCCTGTCGCCGCGTGAATAAATAACCTGAGATTCAACGAGTTAAACACTCAGCATAGTCATCGATTTCAAAAACAAGTTCTACGTCTCTCTCCGGAGTCATCTCCCTTCCTGGATTTTCTGACCGCTGTTTTTTTCATCATTTATTCATTTTTTTCATCGTTTTCTTCTTTTTGCTTGTTTACAAAGCTACGCACTATTTGTGTACGTCGCCGTAGGGCTGCATGCTTATTGTTTTCCATAAATTGTGTTACTCGTTGTTGCAGCAGCAGACAGCAGGCGCCATCATATGGAAAGCCCTTCTAATCCTATTTTATGCCTGCTCTCGTTCGCGCCAGCTCATAAATTATGAATGGAAATTCTTCGTACAGCTAGATGATCATGCAATCAAGTGCTTCTAATATCATTCTCTGCTTTCTGCTGTTTATTTTTAGCCTGCGCTGACTTGTTCAATTACCAGTAAATTCGACGGTGACCTTGTCCATTCAAATGTTTTTCTAAGCTGGACTCGTGATTGTTGCTTGTCAAATTTGCTCACAAGTCGCTTGACCAAGGTAGATCTCAGGATTTATGATTTCCACATTATGATTTCCACATATGCTGACTAGCCTGGGGTATCCTAAATTTTACAAAAGCCAAAGCGCTAATTAGCATCTATCTCATAAATATAAAGAATTAGTAACTGAAAAGAAAAGGATTTCAATGTGGAGACACCTTTTGCGCCTCTACTTGACGCGTATACAAGTGATAGATAGGGTTTGAAACTAAGAGGAACTCTAAGCTTGTTCCTCTATGAATACTCCATAAAATGAATAATTCGGCTTCTTCAGACTGCATGCACTTCATTTAGCATGCCGATCAATTAGACTCTATGTTTGCACTAGCAGCTAGCTATCTGCTGCAAGCATTTCTGTTGTTTGAGAGCAAAGTGAAGCCACTCGATAATCAAACGCGTGTCTCGTAATATTACTTTTGACTGAAGTGCATGCCGTCATTTCTCCAAGTATTTTTTGAGGGTGGGCCGTCATCTTGATCACCATCTAGACCAACATCTATCATCGGAATGCGTCTTTGAAAACTAGAGGACGCTAATCGATAAAGAATCATGGTCTTCAAATCTGATACAAACTGTGAAGAACTAAGGAGCAGTTGCGATTCAACGTCGGCGAGCAGTGTATGCAGAAGGCTTTGTCACCATCACCACTAAAGTAACAGGGGAGCCTAGGCTGGAGAATCCCCCAAACATCGTCTTTGCTATCTCACCATGGAATCAATATGTCAACGGGGGAAACGGTCCTGCATTGAGAAGTAACAAAATAGTGTTATATTTGGAGAACGTGTGAGAAGAAGCTCGCCATAGGAGAGTTAATGTTGTGCTTGCCCCCAGATCACCTTAGGAATACGATGAGCAGACGTGATCCCGTTCTATCTCTTATACCTTACCGTAAATCGTTGAACAGTGAAATTTCTGGTTAACATGGAAGGATTGCTTTCGCGTTTTAGGAAATCTGAAACGGCATTCTTGCTACTTTTCATTGATCTTGGTGTTAATTCGGTGCAAATGCAGATAAAGTCGTTTGTTAAGATGATTTTATCAATTGGTGTTTCTAAATTCGTTATTAAGAAGCATGAGGTACAGAAAATGCGAAATTTCAAGTCAAGGCCTTCGAATAACAACTTCTTTTTTCTTCTTCTTTTGTCATTGTTTACCTTTGATGTGATTGTAGTCATATGGAGAACAAGTCAAACCAGGTGGACGTTATTTGTCTTGGATTTCATGCAGGTGTCGTATTTCACACAACTCTTTCGAAAACGATCTAAAAAATGCTTATTCTTATCGTGCATCAGAAGATTCCCTGTCATGGAAGTATATGGTGACCTGGGAAGGAGTTTTGTAAGATTAGAACTCATTCAGAGTTGTCTAATGTGTGATGTAGCGAATATTACGAATGTCGTTCTTCACTTAACAAAGTAAGTGAAGAGATTTACAATGACGATTTGCGCCAATGATAAGAATAAATCATAGCTCACTGAATACCATGAGATTGAAATATTCATTCGAGAAGTTTGTGTGATACTATAAAATTCGGCCTCAGGCGGGAGTTGAATCTGCGTTTCATCCTTGCCGGGGGCGCATGCTACCACTACAGCTTCAAGAGTAACTGCTTTGCGACGACGGGTTGAATTATAAGCCGAAAATGTGGTATGAATGAGGGACTACCGCTGTATAAAGACTACGAGGTAGTGGTTTTTGAATGATGAGATAGGCCGACTTAGGACTTTCGTGGACACATTGTACAGACTTTCAGACATATCGACACGTATTGTATTTGTTGCTCTTCAGTCGGACGGACCTATTCTGAACAATACAGTTGCCATAGTGAAGGCGTCGAAGCAATCACTCGTGCGTCAAAACAAAAGACTTCGTCACTGCAAATGTTTACTTCTCGATCTTTGTTCCGTCACGATTTCTCCACATTCGTGAAAAAATGGCACTGAAGTTTAGCTGACGTACGAAAAGCTCAACGACGACAACAGTGATGTGAAAACTTTTGAACACGATCAGATTTGTGAACAACATGTAAAAGAAGCCGACGAGTATTACACCTAGAACACAGCTGTTGATGTGTAGATTACACCATATATATTAATTGTATTGTTAAATAATACCTGAAGTTGCTGGTATCAATAAACTTCCGCTTCTTTGAAATTCTAAAAAAATTACTTCAGAAAATAATGGAACACCTGTCTGAAAAGGACAGCTCGCAAAATATTGTTGTATTTTCTAATGACATTCTAAGTTTTACAACGCCAATAATAAATCGTTTCTCAATGACAGAGCTTTTCATTTTGATGTTTACGTTTTACAAAATCTTACAAATGGGAGATTTTTTCTTTCAGAGTACTAATGTTTTGTTAGATTTTTTCAAAATGGTTCAGATCTTTCCAGAAGCGTCATTTTCGGTGTTTGTGCTCTAAAACCCTCTTTTTTCGTCTAATTTTTGCATAATGTCATTCAAGTATAAGTAATAACCAGTGGTATCTTTCTGGTGTGTGTAACGTAGTGGTGTCAAGATGCTTTGCAATACTAGAATGGTCTTTGGTCCTACACAACTCCGGATTAACTAAGCCTTACATCTTACCGCAGTTAGCAAATTGGTATCAAAGCATCGTTGAACGACTAAGTAATCACCCTATACATCTTCAAGTCACCTCAAGTAATTGTACAAGATAAATTTGCATACGATCATTTTTACGTCACTATGAGTAAAATCGAATAGGTGATCGATTCCGAAGGGGTTAGTTAACGCTGAACGCTATCCTTTATTGATTGTCTCTTAAATGTCTTTTCCTTCAAGTGAAATCATCGTGAAACATGTGCAAAACTTTCATTGACAC